TTTAGAAGAATTAATATCCTGAATGAGGCCTTAATTGGACGTGAAATGTAGTTAAAATTACAGGTAGAAACGGAAATTACAAAATTTTACAGCAAAAACACAAAGCATATTCGATTTCCAAGAGCAAAGGACAGGAAAGCAAAATTTAACTTTAAAGTTTTATTGTGCATTTCTAGGTTAGGATTGATGACGGTAATGGATCTACTACGCGCCGTAAATAACGCTACGACTCTGTCTTGAAAATTCTGTTCAAATCGGACGTTAAAATAATTTTACACTAGAGACAAAATAATGTATAGTTAAACCTTACTAATCAGACCCCATATAATTCGCACAGCCTTTATTTAAGTGTATATTCTCTTTGTTAAAAACAAGATTTCCCTAACTTCTTTTTATAATATAAATATTTTCATTAAATTTCATTTTTTAGTAAAGTTTGTGTCTCAAAGCTATGTAAGTTAGCATGTGTTGCTGGCTTTTGAAACAATTTTTTTTCTATGAACTACGACTTGAAAACATTTACAAATAGGCTATTCATATGTTTTATAATTCGAGTTTTTCACTAATTAACAGAACCCCTTCCCCCTAATAGTCCGAATTAGTTATTGAGGACGTTGAACATTTTTATTTCGAAAACACTGTAATCATCAGTAAAGTTATTAGGGATATATACAGAGTGTCCCACAAACACGTATACACATTATAATAAGGTATATTAACCTTGTGCGTATAAATCGTTTGGGACACTGTATATATAATATGATATGGAAAACTTGGTAGATGCTCCTGAATATTAAATATACTGTGGTCCAAATTTAAACTCGAACACATGAGAATCATAAGTCAACAAACATTTTAACGACGTATGAATAAATAGAACTGAAAAACTTATATTTTAACATTATATTTTAGGTTCATGTTGTAAATATATTGGAATTTTTATTATGATATTTTTCAAAGGTTCTGAAAGTATGTAGACTAAACAGTAGATGCAATGTCACCGCCATGAAAGTCACAGATCTTACTTATAATAGTTTTAATTGACTAATCGTCTTCACAGGGCAATTTTAAACAAGTCTCTTAAAATGGCGCATATATCATAAATGTGGTTTTTAACTGAAAATAGATAACGGTGGTATGCTTCTTCCGTAGATATGTGTGGTCACTCCTGTTTTTTCTCTCTCATTTTCTCACAAACAAAGTAACATAATTATTATCAGGAAGTTAATTACACACCATACTATTCGTATACTAATAGCCCATTGTCTGTATAAAGCTTCGACACTGTTGGTTCTGCTTCCGTGTCGTGGCTTCATGTCTTCTGCAGCGGGGGCCAAACTACATTCAGCTACAGAAATAAATACTTTCTAGGCTGCCCTACGAAGGATGGAACGTACCGGAAAACAGGGAATGTCGACGCCCATTGAATTATCTACAACTTATGTTTAATTATTCATGATGACAGCGTGAAGTTGAGTGACACCCGGTTGGAGGGATCGATTCTACATTACAACGGGCAGAACCATGTGGCTATATCAGTCTCTCTACTCTGAAGGTTACTAAAGAATAACGGCTAAATGGTTGTTTGGTAAAAAGCTTTCACCTAAGAAACGCCGTTAATCGCTTTCGGCCATCATGTTTATGTATCAGTAAAATGTTAGAGTATTATTAGAGATATTAAAATTAAGGCAACAGTTTTCTTGACTTTGTAAAAGTTATGTAATAAGACTGCTAAGCGCATTAACATCTGGTGTCCGGATACCCCATGCGTCATTTCTGTACTTAAGTTTGGTTTACATCGTTTGCAGGTTCATAATTAGTCTTATATGGGCATACCTCGGATATATTGCGGGTTCGGTTCCAGACCACCGCAATAAAGCGAGTCACACGAATTGTTTTGGTTTCCCGCTGCATATAAAAGTTATGTTTACACTATACTGTAGTCTATTAAGTGTGCAATAGCATTATGTCTAAAAAACATTACAAGAATTTCCAAAATGTGACATGAGACACGAAGTGAGCACATGCAGTTGGAAAAATGGCGCCGATAGACTTGCTCGACTCAGGGTTGTCACAAACTTTCAATTTTTAAAAAAAACCCGCAATATCTGCGAAGCGGAATAAAACGAGGTATGCCTGTATAGGCAACTCTATTTTTGATTCCAAGATCTGTGTACGGGAATGTGCAACATGTAAAAGTGTAACCTCTTTCAGAAACAAATGATACGAATATTTCTTCGCAACTTTCCATACAATGTGTTTTACACACACACGTGCTAAACGTACTGAATTCGAAGATTACTTTAAACATCCTATATGAGATGCAGAAGGTTCGCACAATCGAATTTTGATTATCAAGACAATTTGCATGATTTGAAGAGCAGTCTAAAGCGCTTCTAAATGCTGACGGAAACTGCAATAAGTTAATCCGTTAAGCCTAGATATCTGGTCAATCGTACGGAATTTCAAACAGGCTCTTCCAACATATGGGCGAAGATTTGTTTCCTTGTTTTCAATGCACGATTCTGCCAAAAAAGTGGGCTATATAATGATGATATTCAGATAAGAGTCCTCTAAGTTCTGTCTTTGGTTAATTTCTTTAGCAAGATCGACGTTTATTTACAATCGATTTGCGAATGCTCAGTCAACGTGGGTACCTAATGCTGTCCGATTTTAACGTGACTTATGCGTGCATAATAATGAGTTATATAAATCATTCACAAAACAGTTTTATCTTAAGTTCCATGACGCAGAATCCTTGAAATGCCAAAAGCACTTTCAACTAGTCAATAAATCCCGCGTCCTTTATGGAACTCAGGAGGTGTGTTACCGCGTTCACTAGAGCATGATTCTATTTAGTAATGTTATTGTGTATCGATGTGCAACTGGACCCTATTATGCGTTTTAGTATAAATTTCGTTTGACCAGTCGAATGTGCAATAAGCATAGGCAAGATCATTTTGTGCAACGTGTAAGAATCCAGTCAGTGTTGAATAAGAGAGAATTTGACCTCAGTTTAATGTAAAACAAGTTATCCATTTCGGAAAACCAAGTACAGAAGAACACAATTATTTTAAACCAAATGTATAGTTCCGTGAAGTGCTGAACATAAAAATATATTTCTCTAAATTGTGTCTAAAATAAATATTACAAAATTTGTGTTGTTAGTGTAATACTTAATCATAAATATTTTTGTGTTACGTATTTTTTCTATTTCTGATAAATTTTCGTACGTAATTATACTTATTTCATTGGGGTAAAAATAGACCTCACCTCTAATAAAATCACCTTTGCAGTCCATTCGAATTTACGTCCTGTTAAGACCGATGAGTTCAGCTCAAGCCTTAGGGATGTCACTCAAGGCATATAAAAGCAATAAGTACTAGACCCTCGAAGCAAGGGAGCGATCATTCCAGACAGCTCGCCAGAGAACGTCTTCACAACGATGTAAATTCTGTTCGTCGAAAGTTGTGATTTTTCTAAAGTATGGAAAAGACACGCGTCGAGCATAACGAACGCAATAAGAAAACAGCGACCGACCTCGTTAAGAACTGCTATACACAGGTCAAGTCGTCTGAACGCAAGTCAATATTTAATGATCACCCGCTGCGTTGTGACAGGAAGACCAACTTCTTTAAGGAGGAATGCTTATTTTGACTTCCCTTCATCTGCCTGCCATCTCGTTACTTTCACCAATTAGTGGAAAACAATAAATGCGAAGAGAGGAAGTAACAGCGAGCTTTACAAAAGTGCATAATAAGAACTTCATAGTTCGTGTCAGATATTATCAGTGATTGAATCAATAAGGATGAGAAGACTGGGACATGTAGCGTACGAAAGAGATGAGAAATGAGTACAAAGTATTGGTCGTCAAACCTGAAGGGAAAAGACCACTTGTGAGGCTTAGACATAGACGGAAGGAATATATTAAAGTAAATCTTGAGAAAGTATTATTTTAACACACGGAGTAAATGAATTTGGTTCAGAACAGTGCGCATTGGCAATGAAGCTTCGATTTCAATAAAAGGCAAAAACGTTTCCTTACGTGTTTCTAGACAGACATTCTTAAGAAGTACTCTGTTTCAGGGAGGAAGTTAGGTATAATGAAAATTGAATGTTTAACATCATGCAGCATGAAATTTAGTTCCGGCAAACGGTACTGACTTGAGTCAAACAAAGGCTATATACAAAATGACTACACTACTTTGTGTATACAAGTGTTAAGCAGTGTTCTATCACGCAATAAGTTATATTTATAAATAAATTCAACTCAAATGAATATTTCACTACATTACTTAGTGTTAGGCCTACTTAAGGCATGATGCTGCAATAATGAAAAAAAAAAGAATCGAAAACGACAGATAATTCTAGAACATGATTGTAGCAATTACATTCGGCCATGACTTCACAGCTTTAATGACTTAATACTACTAACAAATACATATTCGCACATACTTAATTTTATCTCTCGGATAAAAATCTGTGTCGTTTCAGACATATTATTGTCATTTTTTTTTGCATTTCCTTCTTTATTCTTCACTTAATTCCTGTGTCATTAAGTGTTTTATCTCTATAAAATTAATTCCTGTCTACTTTCACAAACCCCTTGTTAATACTTTGAAGCCGAAGTTCGTCTAAATAATATATATGGATTCAGTCCCTACCGCAAAGGAAATGCAACTCTTAATCATTACAAAGATCAATTTGTTAATGTTGTTTACAGTGATAATCGTACAAAATCCATAATTAATAGTTATTAACTGTTGAAGTAAGTGAGATACAAAGTTACTACTCGGCCTTAAATGTTAATGTCAACTGGTACTTGACATTTTTGGAGCTTTTTAAAGAAAAAGCTTGTAGTCATTCACCTTCAAGCCTCTGCACAAGAATTAAGTCTTTTTACGAATGTCACGTAAATTTCAAATGAGCTTGGCTCTAACGCCTTCGTTATCTCAGCAACGACTTCAATAAGATGATTTCCTTTCTTTCTTTTGTTCCAGAGGCGCTGTTACCACGTTTCGCTGAGCCTATTCCTAACGTAACAGTGACCATTGGCCGTGATGCCCTTCTAGCCTGCGTGGTAGACAACCTGCGAGGCTATAAGGTAGGTAACAGAGTGGCAGGCTTCGTCACAACGACGTCATCTTGCCGGTAAAATCAGAAGAATGCACGTCCGCAGAACTGGCAGATATGTAGCTCTTGCAATATAACGTTCAGCGAATCCGACTGAGGTCTTAGAAACACAGTCACTCTATTCTGTTTTGTAACTAATCTTTCGGCGCTCTGCACAGTTTATTGGCAGGGTATTTTTAATTGTCTAACTTCCTAGGGAATTTTGTGTAAAACTTAGGCCTAGTCAGTATTTTGTTACATGCATGGCTTTATTAGCTGATTCTGTGCTTACTGAGACATGCGGTACCATTCCTTTGAATTAAAAAATTCCACTGCTTCCCAGTTAAATTTTCTTTTTAAATAATGTTTTATTTTAAATTAAATAACAGTTCTGCTAGCTCAACTAGAAAAGATAGAAGTTAATATAAAATAACCACTTAATAAAACTTTTCTAAAAGTATCAATTTAATATTCACTGTATCCATTAATCTTAGAGTAGGACAGTTGTATGTAAAATAATAAAATTATTCAATAAACTCACCAAATTGTTCTTGAACGTTTGATATTCTATACAAACTACATAATGAAGTAGGGATACTAAACCTATTTCTGGTTCTGGAACTTCTGAAACTGCACACTTGCATATTATATGCTTTAACCAATATTTGTTTATGAAAATGTAAACATAAAGCTCTGTCAATATTCTATATGCTTTTGTGTTTCTCAGCTTTTGAAATTGTCGGATTTATAAATGTAAGACAAATTATGAATTTTGACTAACGGATTACTTACGACTAACAATTTGCGTACTTAAACGTTCACAGTCCTACACAGCCATTAATATACATGACCGAAACTTTTCCGATAAAAATTATGTAACTACGTTATCCACACTTTTAACAGTGCAGGTTCCTTTTTTATATTTCAAACAAGGTATGATCATACACGTTTCGACTCGTCGTCGGCCTCCTTTCCAAGATTAATTAGGAAGTTAAGCCTGAACTCTCTGAGATCCCACGCTTTCAATTGGCTCCGAATGCACAGAATTGTACAATTGTTCGTTGGATTGCCGCTTGTTTCTTACGTCGTACAAACATGGCGCGTACAATTCTATGAATTTTGAGAAGCTACGATCTCATGTCGGCCATCACAACCAATAATTATAATCTAAGAAAGAATTAACGTAAGTTTAAGGTGATCGAGATGACTGCAAGTCCTACCTCTACCACATATTTACCCACACACGTTACGACCTGTAAATTTCAGTGTGAATCTCTAGGCAAATAATCATGCAAATACATATTTATTCGAGGATCTATTTCCGGCCAAACCTACCAGCCGAATTCGCTTGCCTTCCCAGACGAACGGTTTCCGGAAACTCGTAACGTATGTGACAACTCATACGGAAGCCCATGATTGAAATAAAATTGAAATGGTCACTATTGTGCTTTGAATTTATGTAGGTAAAAGTACGTTTAAAATAAACAACTGTTGCGTTATTATACATGTGGCATAATTGTAAAAATAGACCTATATTTCACATAAACACAGAAATAAAAATGAATGTAAGTAGCATATTTCAAACAGATGTAAAGGTAAAATTTAGTTTTAAAATGGCATATCGGCATATATATATATATATATATATATGAGCCGGGATAGCTCAGTCAGTATAGTGACTAGCTACTGGCTGGACGACCGGGGTTCGTTCCCCGACGGGGGCAGAGGATTTTTTCATCTGGCCTCTGCGTCCAGACCGACTCTGGGGCCCACCCAGCCTCCTGTC